GGTCAGGGACGAGCGATTGTCTTTTCCTACCAATCTATCCCACTAGGAGCATGCACGTAGTACTTGATTTTTTATGACTTCTAAATTTTTGCAATAAGTATATGAGTTCTTTTGACTAATGTTGAGTCCATGGATTATACACACTTTTACCTTTCCACCATTGCTAGCCTCTTCTGTACTGTGCATTGCCCTTTCTCACCTTGAGAGTTAGTGCAAACTTCGCCGGTGCATCCAAACCCCGTGATATGACACGCTCTACCACACATAAACCTCCTTATATCTTCCTCAAAACAGCCATCATACCTACCTATTATGGCATTTCCATAGCCATTCCAAGATATATTGTCATGCAACTTTCCACCGTTCCGTTCATCATCATCATGACATACTTTACTTTTGTCATATTGCCATTGCATGATCATGTAGTTGACATCGTATTTGTGGCAAAGCCACCATGCATTATTTCTCATACATGTCACTCTTGATTTATTGCACCATCCCGGTACACCGCCAGAGGCATTCATATAGAGTCATATCTTGTTCTAGTTTCAAGTTGTAATTCATATGTTGTAATCAATAGAAGTGTGATGATCATCATTATTAGAGCATTGCCCAAAGAAAAAAAGGCCAAAAAAGGCCCAAAAGAAAAAAAGAAAAAGAAAAAAATAAAAAATAAATAAAAGGGGCAATGTTACTATCTTTTTTTCCACACTTGTGCTTCAAAGTAGCACCTTGTTCTTCATGTAGTAAGACTCATATTTTTGTGCTTCAAAGTAGCACCATGTTTTTCATATAGTGAGTCTCATAAGTTGTCTTTTTCATACTAGTGGGAATTTTTCATTATAGAACTTGGCTTGTATATTCCGACGATGGGCTTCCTCAAATGCCCTAGGTCTTCGTAAGCAAGCAAGTTGGATGCACACCCACTAGTTTTCTTTTGTTGAGCATTCATTTATAGCTCTAGTGCATCCGTTCCATGGCAATCCCTACTCCTCATGTTGACATCAATTGATGGGCATCTCCATAGCCCCTTGATTATCCTCGTCGATGTGAGACTTTCTCCTTTTTTTGTCTTCTCCACACAATCCCCATCATCATATTCTATTCCACCCATAGTGCTATATCCATGGCTCACACTCATGTATTGTGTGAAGGTTGAAAAAGTTTGAGATTATTTAAGTATGAAACAATTGCTTGGCTTTTCATCGGGGGTATAGAAGTTGGGAACATCTTTGTGTGACGAAAATGAAGCATAGCCTAACTATATGATTTTGTAGGGATGAACTTTCTTTTGCCATGTTATTTTGAGAAGACATGATTACTTTGATTAGTATGCTTGAAGTGTTACTATTTCTTTTATCAATATGAACTTTTATTTTGAATCATTTGGATCTGAACATTCATGCCACAATAAATAAAACTACATTGAGAATTATGCTAGGTAGAATTCCACATCAAAAATTCTCTTTTTTATCATTTACCTACTCGAGGACGAGCAGGAATTAAGCTTGGGGATGCTTGATACGTCTCCAACGTATCTATAATTTTTTATTGTTCCATGCTATTATATTACCCCTTTTGGATGTTTATGAGCTTTATTTTACACATTTATATCATTTTTGGGACTAACCTACTAACCGGAGGCCCAGCCCATATTGCTGTTTTTTTTGCCTATTTCAGTATTTCAAAGAAAAGGAATATCAAACGGAGTCCAAACGGAATGAAACCTTCGGGAGCTTGATTTTTGGAACGAACGTGATCTAGAGGACTTGGAGTGCAAGTCATGAAGCAGCCGAGGCCACCACAAGATAGGAGGGCGCCCCCCCCCTATAGGGCACGCCCCTGTCTCGTGGGCCCCTCGGGCGTCCACCGACGTACTTCTTCCTCCTATATAAGCCTACGTACCCCGAAAGCATCTAGGGGGCAGACGAAACACAATTTCCACCACCGTAACCTTCTATATCCGCGAGATCTCATCTTGGAGCCTTCGCCGACACTCTGCCGGAGGGGGAATCGACCACGGAGGGCTTCTACATCAACATCCTTGCCCCTCCGATGAGTTGTGAGTAGTTTACCACAGACCTACGGGTCCATAGTTATTAGCTAGATGGTTTCTTCTCTCTTTTTGGATCTCAATACAATGTTCTCCCCCTCTCTTGTGGATATCTATTTGATGTAAACTCTTTTTGCGGTGTGTTTGTCGAGATCCGGTGAATTGTGGGTTTATGATCAAGTTTATCTATGAATAATATTTGAATCTTCTCTGAATTCTTTTATGTATGATTGAGTTATCTTTGCAAGTCTCTTCGAATTATCAGTTTGGTTTGGCCTACTAGATTGATCTTTCTTGCCATGGGAGAAGTGCTTAGCTTTGGGTTCAATCTTGCGGTGTCCTTACCCAGTGACAGAAAGGGTTGCAAGGCATGTATTGTATTGTTGCCATCAGGATAACAAGATGGGGTTTATATCATATTGCTTGAGTTTATCCCTCTACATCATGTCATCTTGCTTAATGTGTTACTCTGTTCTTATGAACTTAATACTCTAGATGCAGGCAAGAGTCGGTCGATGTGTGGAGTAATAGTAGTAGATGCAGGCAGGAGTCGGTCTACTTGTCACGGACGTGATGCCTATATACATGATCATGCCTAGATAATCTCATAATTATTCGCTTTTCTATCAATTGCTCGACAGTAATTTGTTCACCCACTGTAATACTTATGCTATCTTGAGAGAAGCCACTAGTGAAACCTATGGCCCCCGGGTCTATCTCTTATCATATTTGCTTCCAATCTACTTTTATTTGCATCTTTACTTTTTGCATCTATATTATAAAATACCAAAAATATATTTATCTTATCATACTATCTTTATTAGATCTCACTTTCGCAAGTGGTCGTGAATGGATTGACAGCCCCTTTATTGCGTTGGTTGCGAGATCTTTGTTTGTTTGTGTAGGTGCGTGGGACTTTTGAGGAGCCTCCTACTGGATTGATACCTTGGTTCTTAAAAACCGAGGGAAATACTTACGCTACTATTGCTGCATCACCCTTTCCTCTTCAAGGAAAACCAACGCAAGCTCAAGACGTAGCAGAGACTATCTTTAGAAGCACAAGAGCAAGGAGTTCATCATCAACAACAACATCTATTCCCTTTTGGAGAGTGGAATCTCCTAGATTGGTAAGGTATCACTTGGGAGCCTTCAAATCTTGGGGAGTTGAACCAAGGAGTTTGTAAGGGCAAGGAGATCGCCTACTTCATAAAGATCTATCCCGTGTGAGGATAGTCCTTCATGGACAGAAGTCATGATGTCATAGACGAGGTTGCTTCTTTGTGGACCCTTTATAGGTGGAGCCCTCCATGGACTCACGCAGCCGTTATCCTTCATGGGTTGAAGTCTCCATCAAGTTGACGTACGATAGCACCACCTACAGGACCGCGCCAAAAATCATCATGTTTTCATTGCGTTTGATTTCTCCGATCCCCTCCTTTACGTTCGTATGCAAAGTCTTTACTTTCTGCTGCCTACTATCTAGACTTGTATGTGTAGGTGTTACTTGACTGGTGTGAATTACCAAAACTTGCCAAGAGTTAAAGTTGGAAAAGCCCACCCCTTCTAAACCTACTTACGATCCTACACTGGTTCTACGACACCTTAGCATGACTACTTGCCGACTGTCTACTACATCAACGATTGCTCGGCTCCGGCGAGGGATGGGTGATGACGGTGGTGCACCTTCGACTCGCTTCAGTGCTTGTAGTTGTCTCTAGGTGGTTCACAGACCTGGTTGTAATTTTATTGCCTCTGGTGTTCTTTGTACTACCATAATATGAGATGAATAGATTGAAAGTTTTTCACATATAAAAGTACTCGGCTGTTGGACGCATTACCGATCCAAATCTTAAAGAGAACGGACGCCGAGCAGGGCAGCCGACCCAAATGAACAAAAAACGTCGTTTGTTTGGGTCGACGCGTTGGAGTTGCTCTAGTTGACGGAAAATTGAGAAACACAGGTACCTAATGATGATATAATTGGCGCATTTGTCAGTATGTTTTTCCTTCTGCTGTCCAGCACAGGTGCACGACACCAACCATCCTGCTACTAAATATTCGCTTGTTGATCATGGATTTGACGAGGGAAATTCAATATACGGCAGGTTCGCGCGTGATAATCATGTGCCGATGTACGCCGACGCCCAGCGAGCGCGCATGTGGCTGCCTTCTACTTTGACTTATGCGGATGCCCCCAGGCTGTAGCAAGATCCGCTCGGCTGTCAACATCTTGTCCTGGCACTCGGCAGTTCGCAAATGCACATCCATCCAACATGGTTCCGGTATGAAAATGACAAGCAAGCATATATTCCACCTTTCACCTAGTGTTTACACGGGACGGGACGCTCAAATGACCCAAAAGTCTAAGTTGAGAGCGTCGGATACATCGCGAAACACTTTCTGAAGAAATGCAATGCAATTGTCTTATTCTGAGAGCAAGAAATGCAAAAGGAAGAAGTACACGTCCAGCTTTTCACCGCGTCTTTGGTCATGGTGCAAGAAAGAGTGGAGTGCAGTGTAGAGAAGGGGAAGGTGAGATGCCTGCGTATGCGTATGACAACAAGTGAGCCAAAAGCAAAGTCAAAGGCCACGCGAGCGCAACAACCACCCGTAAAGTAAAGAAAAGAAAAGCACCACCCAAATAAAAGGAGTTCCTCATCCTCCACGCGCGCAAATACAAAACTCAAAAACAAAGGGACCTCACGGGACGCGAGGAAGGAAAGCTCTGCGCCGCTGCGCGCCGTAAAGCGCCGCACACCGACACCCCCTGCCCCCCCTTACCAGCCTGACACCCACGACGCGTTCTCTCTCTCACTCTCTCTCTTCAAGTAGCAGTGAACCCCACTTATATTTCTCACTCCGCCTTCTTCCCAAAGAAAAGAACGCACCACCACCGCAGACGCAGCAGCAACCGCACCTAATCCAGAGCCAGCTAGAACCCGCCGCCATGGGCGCGCCGCTCTTCGGCGCCGTCCTCCTCTGCCTGGTACTCGCCGCGGCAGCGGTGCCGGAGCAGCAGCCCACATTGCCCTCCTCTTCAGCGGCGAACAGCTCCACGGGGGTGAACTCCAACTCGGTGCTGGTGGCGCTTCTGGACTCGCACTACACGGAGCTGGCGGAGCTGGTGGAGAAGGCGCTGCTGCTGCAGTCCCTGGAGGACGCCGTGGGCCGGGGCAACGTCACCATCTTCGCGCCCCGGAACGAGGCCCTCGAGCGGGACCTCGACCCGGAGTTCCGCGCCTTCCTCCTTGAGCCCCGCAACCTGCGCTCCCTCCAGCGCCTGCTCCTCTTCCACGTCCTCCCCTCCCGCCTGCACTCGCACTCCGCCTGGCCCGCCTCCACCGCGCGGATGACGCTCTCCGGCGAGCACCTCCAGCTGTCAGCCGACGGCCAGAAGATGCTAGTCGGCACCGCGGAGGTCACGCGGCCGGACGCGGTGGTGAGGCCCGACGGGGTCATCCACGGCATCGAGCGGCTGCTGGTGCCGCGGTCAGTTCAGGAGGATTTCAACCGCCGCCGCAGCCTGGCTGCCATCTCGGCCGTGCTCCCCACGGGCGCCCCCGAGGTGGACCCCAGGACGCACAGGCTGAAGAAGCCTGCGCCGCCCGTGCCCCTCGGCGCGCCGCCCGTGCTGCCGGTCTGGGACGCCATGGCCCCCGGCCCTTCCATCGCGCCGGCGCCGGCCCCCGGCCCCGGATCCGGGAAGCACCACTTCGACGGGCACAGCCAGGTCAAGGACTTCATCCAGACGCTGGTCCTGTACGGGGGGTACAACGAGCTCGCTGATATCCTGGTGAACCTGACGTCGCTGGCCACGGAGATGGGGCGGCTGGTCTCAGAGGGGTATGTGCTCACAGTGCTGGCCCCCAATGACGAGGCCATGGCACGGCTGACCACGGACCAGCTGAGCGAGCCCGGGTCGCCGGAGAACATCCTCTACTACCACATGGTCCCCGAGTACCAGACGGAGGAAAGCATGTACAACGCCGTGCGGAGGTTCGGGACGGTGCGGTACGACACGCTGCGGCTGCCGCAGAAGGTGACGGCCAGGGAGGCGGACGGGTCGGTCAAGTTCGGGCACGGCGAGGGGTCCGCCTACCTCTTCGATCCGGATATCTACACCGACGGGAGGATCTCTGTGCAGGGCATCGACGCAGTGCTCTTCCTGCCGGTGGAGGACGCGGCCAAGAGCTCCGGCGGAGCCTCGCCCGTGAGGAAGGCCCCCGCCGTCACCGGCACGGCCAAGCCCAAGCTCCGACGCGGTCAGTACAGTAACCTGCCATCTTCACACTACTTCTTTTTGGTATATTAACATTAACATAAAGCTACGCGGTAGATGTAGAGATTGTGCAAGAATGGTCATGTTGATGGTCGAGGGTTGTGCGGGTGTGTCGGTGGTGGGTCGCCGTCGCATGGCTGTTGGTTCTACTAGTCACATTCGCCATTGCCTTCTCTCGCAAAAAAAAAAACATTCGCCATTGCCTTGCCGGGCATCCAAGCAAAGCACCTCACCAACAAAATTTGTGGTGTTAATTAACCCATTAATAATTGGCTTTATACTAGGTCTAGCTTAGATGTGTCACCTCATGCAGGACAGAGAGACAGAAGCTTTCGGTGGGCCTGGCGAGTTGGGTAGGCGGGCCCGCGTGTAAGGGTGAAATTAATTAAGGGGTACTAGTAGGAGTAGGAGTAAATGCCGCAGGGTAGAATTGAGTGAAGCACGTCATTCGATTCGGTGAAAATGGTTGGTGGTACGTTCTCGTTCTGGTTCTGGCTCTGGTTCAGATTCTGGGTGGGGAGGGGAGTAATAAAGAATCCAACGGAGGCGCGGAAGAAACCGCGTGTGCGCGCACCGCATTGTACGGGAGACAGCGAGCGATGAGCTGTGCATTGACATCGATGTCTCAACCTCAACCTCAAGTGGTGGTGAGCTGGCACCGCGTTGTCAGTGTCACGGGATGGATCCAGGGAGGGCCATTATCACGACTACATACAGCTGTCTCACCCGTGTGGTCTGGCCTCTCTGCTTTGCTTGCTTGTTGGTGCATGACACGAGATGTTTTTTCTTCTTGATGAAGAAAGCCGTGATAATGGAACGAATGATCATTCAATGAGCACAGTGACGCATGCATGCTTTCTTTTTTGGTGTTAAAAAAGGTTTTATTCCAAAATAATGGAGTACTATAGTTACAGTTCAGCGGCAAAAAAGAAAAAATCCTCAGTACACGTAGCGAGACAGCTGTGCTGTGTGAGTAACTAATAATAGTGTCGGTAATTACCATCTTTATTGTGAGTAACTACTCCCTCCATTCCTAAACATAAGTCTTTCTAGATTTATTTTTTTACGCCTGCTCCATACGTAGTTCATACTAAAATCTTTAGAAAGAGATATATTTAGGAACCGAGGGAGCAGTAGAGTAATGCGCCAACAAAGGTTGCATGGCGTCGAGATGGAGCATATGGGTTTGGTGTCCTCTCCTTGTCACCAACCAGCACCACATCAGTAACCACTGCTGAAGTGACAGTGCACCTGCAAATGGGACAGACCACCCAACACCAACGCCTTAAAATGAGGAAAAAAAAAACATTGACGTAACTTTGCAGCTCATTAATCCTCTTCTTTTTTGCCAAAAAAATTCAATTGTCGGTGACACTCCTTTTTTTTTCTTTACCTTCCAGTCATGGACTCTCTCATCTTACCATCTTTTCTTCTCTTTGTCGGTGTTACAGGGAAGTTGTTGGAAGGGGCGTGCCATGTGGCGGCTGTCTTCGGTGGGCGATCGCACTTCACGAGCTGCCAGTAGATCATGGCCGATGATGGCGACCACGGATGTCTCCCTAGCTGCTTTGCTTGCCTCCTGAGGCTCAAAGATGAACATGAACCGAAGTACTAGTATCATGCTGAGTTTTGGTTAATAAGGCTAGCGAGGAAGGGAGACCTACTGGTTTTGCTTGTTGGGCCGTCAGGAAATTAGGAGAAAAGAAGGTGGATGGAAATTTGTTTATACGGGAGATCAGGTCGACATCAGTGTATAGCGATTTTTTTTCTTCTTTATTTGTTTGATTTGTGGTTTAAGATGCTACATAATTTTTGACGAAACAAAGGGAATTCCCAAAACATGGGTACGTTCACGACCACTCATCAGTTTGTTTCTCTGCATTTTGATCCTCCGTGCCTTCTACTCTATCAAATCAGCGGCAATTATTCTTTTAAGACGGAGACAATATATAACAAATTGTATTTATTTATTTTGGATGAAAGGGGTTTCCCCTTGGTTCCATCTTTTTCATTGATGAAACCAAACAAACCAGGTTCAGGCATCAAGGCTAAAAACCTCTAAATTAAACCCTTTTTAGAGATTTTAATATGAACTACATACGGATGTATATAGACATTGTAAAGTGTAAATTCATTCATTTTGCTCTAGTCTGTATTGAAATTAGTTCCGTATGTAGTTCGTATTGAAATCTTTAAAATGTCTTATAAATGTCTTATATTTAGGAACAGAGGGTGGCAAACCAGCCACCATCAAGTCTAACAACCAGTTGAGGCTTATTATTGAGGACAACATACATAAACCGACAAACACCACACACATTGCTCAGTCTACGTAGAAGTTGGAGATCAGGGATTGGCAGTGTTCATTGTCTGTCGCACTCGCCGGCGGTGCTTGTTGTAGGCAACCTGAAGAAGCTCCCCACGCCGACGGTCCTCCTCTTCGGAGCAGATGTCGTACACGATCGGCGCGCCTCCGTTGCCAGATGACTTGTGGTCGTGGGTGTTCCTGGGCTTCTTTGGCACTTGCTCTTCGTCGTCGTCCTCTGTGTCACCGAGGTTTGTGACAACCGGAGTCATGATCCTTGGTGTTACTCGTGAGGCCCGACGCTTGGTGGAGAGTTGCGCCTCGGTGGCCAGGTGTTCCGTCACCACGTGCCGGTCGGTAAGAAGGCCAGTGATGGCCGTAGCATCATCGTGCTCAGCAGCGAGGTGTTGTTCCACCTCCCACGAACGGAGGGGCACCACAACGCTGCCACCATGTACCGCCGCGCCGGCATGGGGTTGCTCCCCCTCTACCTCCTCCTTCTCCGAGGAGATCCAACCGGAAGCCTCATCGTCGTCTTTGTCATCCAAGCTCGAGGAATCGTCCGGCATGACGACTACCGGGAGGTGCTGAAATGATTAGGCGGAATGTCGGGTCGGGAGCAGCCACACCACAAAAATTTGGGCCCGATTCCGACACGTTTTGGGAAGAATGGGTGGCGGGAAAGAGCTCGGGTTTGTGGAGGGTGCAGTGGGAATTCATAATGATGTGGAGGTGATTCAGCGTCATGTTGGCCGATGAGCCACTTTTCGAGGGAGAGGAACTGAGGTGGTGATGAAATGAATTTGGAACGCTTGTAAGTCACAAAGCGGTAGGCAGTAAATAACCGGCCACTGAAAAACAGTCACTACATAACAGCCAGTCAGTGATAAGTTAAGATCAAATATAACCCATCAATCAGTTATCTCTGTCCGACCTGTAATTTGCTGGTTTATGATACATGCTAGGTTAGTCCCTTGAAATTCATTATTGACGCTTCTACACTGGCCATGCAGTGATGAAGCTCATCATTGACGCGTGGTCAGTGGTTGGTCGGTGATGAGGGGTTAGTAGTGTTTCGATCTGTATTTCTGACTATCATTTTTCATAAAAGCTTTCGAACATTCCATTCCAATCCACATATGTCAGAATTCCAAAAGCATGTAGGTTCTGCACACTCTATTCCATTCCAATCCACATTGATAGCACACTTCAGATCAAAAGCACATAGTTCAATAAAATCTTTAACATTCTTCTAGTGAAGAAACCTATCCAGGAAGGTTTTGCCATTCATCTCTCTAATCTGCCACGACCACTGTTTCTGTTTGCAGAAGACAAAATTCAGTAAATCCCAAACCTCGACTTTGTTTATATCACCTTTGAGAATATTGCACGCCACAGTTCTTGAAATTGTCAATTACACTCATTTGCCATAGAAACACCAGTATGTAATGAAGGAAATATGCCCTAGAGGCAATAATAAAGTTGTTATTTATATTTCCTTATATCATGGTAAATGTTTATTATTCATGCTAGAATTGTATTAATCGGAAACTTAGTACATGTGTGAATACATAGACAATACATAGTGTACCTAGTATGCCTCTACTTGACTAGCTCGTTAATCAAAGATGGTTATGTTTCCTAACCATAGACATGTGTTGTCATTTGATGAACGAGATCACATCATTAGAGAATGATGTGATGGACAAGACCCATCCGTTAGCTTAGCATTATGATCGTTACAGTTTTATTGCTATTGCTTTCTTCATGACTTATACATGTTCCTCTAACTATGAGATTATGCAACTCCCGAACACCGGAGGAACACCTTGTGTGCTATCAAACGTCACAACATAACTGGGTGATTATAAAGATGCTCTACAAGTGTCTCCGAAGGTGTTTGTTGGGTTGGCATAGATCAAGATTAGGATTTGTCACTCCGTGTATCGGAGAGGTATCTCTGGGCCCTCTCGGTAATGCTCATCACTATAAGCCTGACAAGCAATGTGAATAACAAGTTAGTTACGGGATGAAGCATTACGGAACAAGTAAAGAGTCTTGCCGGTAACAATATTGAACTAGGTATGATGATACCGACGATCGAATCTCGGGCAAGTAACATACTAATGACAAAGGGAACAATGTATGTTGTTGTGCGGTTTGAGCGATAAAGATCTTCGTAGAATATGTAGGAGCCAATATGAGCATCCATGTTCCACTGATCGGAGATGTATCTCGATCATCTCTACATAGTTCTCGAACTAGTAGGGTCCGTACGCTTAACGTTCGATGACGATTTATATTATGAGTTATGTGTTTTTGATGACCGAAGTTTGTTCGGAGTCCCGGATGAGATCACAGACATGATAAGGAGTCTCGAAATGGTCGAGAGGTAAAGATTGATATATTGTAAGGTTATATATGAACACCGGAATGGTTCCGAAGAAGATCGGAGATTTTTTGGAGCACCGGGAGGTTACCGGAACCCTCCAGGGAAGTTATTAGGCCTATTTGGCCATAGTGGAGGAGAGGAGGCAGGCCACGGGAGGTGGTGCGTGCCCCCCTTTCCCCAACCCGAATTGGACAAGGGGAGGGGGCGCGCCCCCCCTCTTTCCTTCTCCCTCTCACCCTTCCCCTTTCCCCTCTCCGTTGATTGGAACGAGGGGGGCCAAATCCTACTTAGACTAGGAGTCCAAGTAGGACTCCCCCCTTGGCACGCCCTCCTTGGCTGCCGGCCCCCTCCTTCCCCTCCTTTATATACATGGCCAGGGGGCACCCCAAAGGAACACCAAGATTTCTCTTAGCCGTGTGCGGTGCCCCCTTCCACAGTTTACTCCTTCAATCATAGCGTCGTAGTGCTTAGGTGAAGCCTTGCGCGGATCACATCATCAACACCATCACCACATCGTCATGCTGATGGAACTCTCCCTCGACCCTCTACTAGATCAAGAGTTTGAGGGACGTCATCAAGCTGAACGTGTGTTGAACACGGAGGTGCCGTACGTTCGGTACTTGGATCGGTTGGATAGTGAAGACGTTCGACTACATCAACCGCGTTAACTAACGCTTCCGCTTTCGGTCTACGAGGGTACGTGGACACACTCTCACCCTCTCATTGCTATGCATCTCCTAGATAGATCTTGCGTGATCGTAGGAATTTTTTTGAAATTGCATGCTACATTCCCAAACAGTGGCATCCGAGCCTGGTCTATGCGTAGATGATATGCACGAGTAGAACACAAAGAGTTGTGGGCGATAATAGTCATATTGCTTACCACCAACGTCTTACTTTGATTCGGCGGTATTGTTGGATGAAGTGGCCCGGACCGACATTATATGACCGCGTTCATGAGACTGGTTCTGCCGACATGCTTTGCACAGAGGTGGTTGGCGGGTGTCTGTTTCTCCAACTTTAGTTGAATCGAGTTTGACTACAGCCGGTCCTTGTTGAAGGTTAAAACTGACGAAAAATCATTGTGGTTTTGATGCGTAGGTAAGAACTGTTCTTGCTAGAAGCCCGTAGCAGCCACGCAAAACTTGCAACAACAAAGTAGAGGGCGTCTAATTTGTTTTTGCAGGGCTTGTTGTGATGTGATATGGTCAAGACATGATGAGATATAAATTGTTGTATGAGATGATCCTGTTTTGTAACAAAGTTATAGGCAACTGGCAGGTGCCATATGGTTGTCGCTTTATTGTATGAAATGCAATCGCCATGTAATTGCTTTACTTTATCTCTAAGCGGTAGCGATAGTCATAGTAGCAATAGTTGGCGAGATGACAACGATGCTATGATGGAGATCAAGGTGTCAAGCCGGTGACGATGGAGATCATGACGGTGCTTTGGAGATGGAGATCAAAGGCAAAAGATGATGATTGCCATATCATGTCACATATTTTGATTGCATGTGATGTTTATCTTTTATGCGTCTTATTTTGCTTAGTACGGCGGTAGCACTATAAGATGATTCCTCACTAAATTTCAAGGTATAAGTGTTCTCCCTGAGTATGCACTGTTGCTACAGTTCGTCGTGCCGAGACACCATGTGAGGATCGGGTGTGATAAGCTCTACGTTCACATAGAACGGGTGCAAGCCAGTTTTGCACATGGAGAATACTCGAGTTAAACTTGACGAGCCTAGCATATGCAGATATGGCCTCGGAACACTGAGACCGAAAGGTCGAACGTGAATCATATAGTAGATATGATCAACATAGATATGTTCACCATTCA